AACAGTACCATCATGTGAAGTCTTGGTCTTTATTTTAAAAAAACCTGCATCTTTGCATTGCCTGTGTCAGAATTCAGGCGTGTCACTTTAGTGCACTTGTGTCATCTGAGCAGATACCAGTAATAAGGCAGCACTTGGACAGTTTGGCTTTTTGACTTGACCCTGATCACAAGGCAACCCTGGGGCTCTTGTATTTCTAGTGTCAGAGCAGTTTAAAGGGAAAGCCCAAGTTTACCGACAGGAAACACAATATCGCACCCCCACATCACCGGCCTGTACTGGTTCCACTGGTGATTCCACTAGTCATTCTGCTCTTCAATTGCAGCTGCAATGCGACTGCACAGTGTAAGGTCATGGCAATTTGAGGTGTAGGTAATGGATATAGTTCAGAAGACAGAGTAGCAATTTAAATAACAGCAAAACAAAATATTTCCATTGTACCTCAATATGCTTTTCAAAATAAAGCTCATCTTAATAATTGATTGGGATAATAGTTCACATTGGTGTACTCAACAGCAGCATCAATGGCAGAGTGCCAACATGTAGAATTGCTTTTTAACTGCCCAAGAAAAAAATGATTAAGACACACCATCATCAACCCCAGCAGCATCATAGCTATTACAGTCTGGCACCTCCTAGCCTGTCGTTTACAATTTTGACATGGAAAAACAACCCTCCATCAGCTCAACCAGTTCAGCTGCCAGTAGAGCAATACAACACAGTACCAGTAAATGGCAGAAGTGTACCGAGCATACATACGCATGTCTTGTTAAACTGTACTCTCTCCCCCTGCCCAGTGGGTATGGTACTGACACCACTGCACTTTATGCTGGGTTAATGCAAGAGCAGGTAGCATCCATAGCAGAAACGACTGGTTTTAACACCAGCTGAACGCTGCCGTTAGTAACTGGCATGATGTTTCCAGCGGGACAGAAATCAGCCCTTGCTCACACACAGTAGCCATACTGTTCGCACTCGGGGGTGTGTAAGCGAAAGTAAAGCTTTCACATCTTCAGTCTTTCAGAGGATCTGAGTGGGGCGGCACAGGGGCACAGCTAGCACTGCCACCTCACAGCTCTTGGGTCCCCAGTTCGACTCCATGCCGAGGTGCCCACTGTGGAGCTGGCATGTTCAACCCCATTCACACTGAGCCCCTCACGCCTTCGTCACGCCCTGGGCAGGAACAAGCAGCTTTCTTATATCGAACAGAGCGCCAGCCTGTAGCCTTCATCTTTCTCACACTCGTCCAGGAGAGAGGCAGCACTGAACCAGCTGGAACCAACGCTTTCAGATTTTAAGGATTGAAATAATTAGCCTAAGGAAAAAATTGACCCTTTTCTTTTTACAAAAGAAAAGTGAAGTTGCAATTCATCAAAAAAATCTTCCAGTATATAAATTTGAAAGCCCTGCCGGAGTTATAATCTCTTCCAGTTTTGTATCACTTGGAGACGTTCAGATTGTTTTGGCTTTTACAGAAACAAGTGGTGCAACCCCAGAGTGGCAGAAGAACCTCACTGGTGAAGCTCACAGCAATTTCAACAGGAGCCTGGACATTAGGGATGTGCGGTGCGGCTGTTTTATGACCCGCAACCTGCCCGTGGTTGTGAGAAACGAACCCGAGCCCGTCCGACCCGCGGGTGCGAGTCAACCCACGCATCACTGCTGGAGATGCAATAAAACAGGTTGATTGATAAAAACCTAAAAACGACAGATGTACAGTGGGTCAGCTTTGTGTCTGTTCTCTAGACCTGAACTAAACACAAAATGCCAAACTTTTATAACATAAGACAAATGTTAGTTTCTCTCTGCCCCTCCACTTTATGTCTTTATCCCTCCATCAAAAGCAACCTTGTCACTGACCAGCAGAGGGCAGAGCATCCTTTCTCAAGCACTGCAAGAAGAGCTGCTGTAGGATCCATCTCTACAGCACAAAAGACTAAGTCATAGAAAAATAAAGAGAACTACCAATACTGTTTATCTTTGCATAGATAAATATAGGATCGGGTGAAAACAACAGGAAATCTTTCATCATAAAATTAATGAGTAATTGCATGTTTTAATAAAAAAACAAAAGACTGGTAGGGGCTGTTGTGTTGATGCGAAAAGGCTGTATTAAGCTGGTAAATACATTTTAATTCACATTAAAAAAATATTTTTTGAAAACCTTTCAGGGTCACAGAAATGTAACAGCTTTCTCCTGCCATTTACCTATTTTGTGGTTTTCACTTAAGGTCAGAAAAAAATGTAAAACAACTACTTTACCAGGCAGCCATTCAATTCACAAAATCTGAACCACCATCTCCTTTACACAGATGAAAAAAATATTTTAAAGCTGAGCTGAAAAGAAGGAAGGATAGTTCATCGAAGAGTTAATTAGTGCAGAATGTGTGGTTCTTTGGATTGCCTGTGTCAGAATTCAGGCATGTCACTTAAGCAAGATGTAAAAAAAAAAACAGAAGCTCAAATTGTAAGCTTAAAAACAGATGCAAACATTTACAGACCAAAATGCTGGGTTTTAATCTAACCACAATACATACCATCTGATCTTGAAAATAACATCTGATAAAAGGAATATATCTGACAGGAAAACAAATCCATACATAATTCTGTACATTCCAATGTGTGAGAAATTAAGTTTAATCAACTACAGCTCATATTTTAAGCCTATTTTTATGCTTCAAACTACCAAGATGTAAGAACTAAAAGCAAAGATTCTAAATCCTCATCCTACTTCACATAGTAGCCTTGCACATTACACTGAAATGCTATAATTCCCTGTCTGTGCTTTAGCCCTACTCACTGCTTTTTCTCACCTCTCTTTACAGATAGACCTGTACCACACATTTTGATGCATGCAGTTGAACACTCACATTCCTGTTTAACAAGGATGTCTTAAGTCACAGGCCTCCGAATGCAGACAAATCCCGCATACACCAACATTTATTAACCGTGGAATCATGTACAGTTCTGGCAATTATTTGCTTCCAAAATGAGCCTGTTATATAACTCCTGGAGTACTACAGAGCTGAAACAAAGAGCACAGTAACACAGCTGAAACAACAACAGACTTCATCATGAAGCTCAGTTTAGGACTCAGTCAGATAATTGGTTAATAGGGCTCAGAGACCCAGTGAATTATGTTAATCAAAGTTCAATGTGCAATGGTTATGTCACAACAAAATACCAGGGCTTCATCTCTGTGTAATGCATTGTTTGCTTAGTGATAAATTTCGTCTTGCAGTGCTCAGAAGAAAAAGATGCCCCTTTCAAAAACACATAGCCAGCACATCAGAAAAGAGCAGATTGGCCTAACAAGGTCAACCCATTTCAACTCAAAGATCAAGAGAACCCACATTTCTAGGAGACCAAAGAGGTCTGTAAACGCAGAGGGCAAGGTCACCTATACTCCACCACAGTAGACAGCGATAGCCATTTAGCTATTTCTTCAGCAGAAGAAGGGCAGTGTCACACCTATTGTGAAGCAGATGGACCGAAAAGGAGCAAACTGGCGTTCTAGTTCAGCACAGACAGTAAGGCAAGGACAGGAGAGTGGAGTCGTTCACAGTGCGAGAGCAGAGCTCTCTCGCTGAACCTGGAACACACAGCAGGCTGCTGTGCTCTTGGTCACTGCACACCCTCGATAGTCTCTGTCCTCTGAGAGTTGTGGAAAATTGTTCCGATTAATAAATGTGCAAAGGCATGTCTTTAATTCTTAAGAACACTGACCTTTCCATTATTGTTGTTATAATCTGTAAACATCCCTTAAACAGTTCGAACTAAAACATTTGCCTGCTTAAGGCTTTCATCCACACATTCAACTAAACAGCCCATAAAACAGAAACAAAATGTCAGAGGCAAAAAAGGCAGCTGTATTCTTCAAATTCTACAGAATGTCACAGAACATTTCCTATTACTACCAGACAACTCTATCTAATTTTCTAATGTATTAAAATATTTCTTATATGGCTAGGGGAGAAAAGTGCTTTTATTCCCTGAAACATTAATCCCACTAGACATAGCAACTACCCACAATATTATGTTTGGTCATCACTCACACATTTAAGTGCTCAGATGGATTGTTAAAAGCTGCATGAAACCTTATCCTCAACTGCTCAATGTGGACAAAAATGCTATAAATGTATTTTGAAGAGGCAAAAAATGGTTTTGTACATCAAATATGCTTCAACAACACTAATATTTATTTGAACTGCATATGCCTATGAACACTGCTGGTGAGTTTATGCTTTGGAGACAGCTCTGTTAGGAGTCAACGGACCAGGGAAAACCTATAGATTTGATGTCACCATAGATTAGCCATTACAAATTTTAGTATTTAAGCTGCTAGAGGGAGATTAAAAACTCCTTGTGGCCAACAGGATGGTGGCTGGAAAGGGGTTTAACAAGGATTTCCCGGCTGCCAAACTGACAGAACAATCAATAATAAATTTGCTTTAATCCTTCACAAAGTCAGGAGCTCAAAGAGAAATCTGCCTGCTGTTTGAAGACTGATTTTTAGTAACCAAAACAAAACATCTAAATTACTGAATATATAAGAAAATGGGAAAATTAAAAGGTGCATACTCTTTTCCTCGGCTGATCAGTAAGGTATATGCAGGGTAACGCACAGGTTATATAAATAAAGAGATTGTTATCTGAAATGGCTGGGGAAAGTCTGCTTTCATGAGGCACTTGAAGAACAGGCCTGTGCATTCACCCCATATACATGAGCACAAGAACAGAACATGACTTCATTTCTGTAACAAAAATAAAGCCTTCATTACTCTGTTTCTCTAAACAACTAGTCATACTCTTATTTCAGCTTTTATTTCCAATCAATGCCAAACCTATTTAGACAGTTCTTATTATATTCATTTACACCAGAGCTAAACAGGGATTAACAATAAATGAGAGCAGTCATTTTACAGTGAGACATTCTTTACTGCCAAAAGATTTTTATAATTTTACCAGTTCTAATAAAAAATATTCAGTTTAAATCTTACCACAGTATTAGCTCTGAGGTTTCCACAATACAAAGGTTTAACAAGGGTACTGTCCAAAAGTCTGAGCACCTGTAAAGACAAAAGATAAAGTAAACCTAATGCAGCATCCAGTGAGAATAAGAAAACATTTAATGGCAGCTACATCTTACTATTCATAAAAAACTGGAATATTAAAGAAACCTTCAGGAACTCAAGTAATCCTCATATCTCTGCTACACATCAATTTTGCATTGAGTAGGTATAAGACAGCACAATAAGATTCCTTTACAGTCCATTCCATCTGAGATTCGCACCTAAAAACGTTTCGTGCCTTTTCACTAGTAAAACAGAGGCTGCTTCTTGTATCAATGAGCTTAAACTCTCTGCCATCACGTGCATGGTCACATTCACAAAAACATCAGTAAACAGATTTAAGGTATTGCGATACTGTAACGACTGTGAAAAATAACACACCAAGAGCATCAAGAATTAATAAAAGTGCCACACCTAGCATTCACCCTTTCTAATGTGAAGATCAAAAACTGGAGTGAATTTCTCACATATTCTTTTTTAAACGGAATGGTAATATTTTGGCACATCCAGCTTTCTTTTCAATTTCAAAGTGAAAAACATTGACTGCAATTTGCAGTCAGCCCCCATTTCCAACTGTGCAGTGTTCATGTGGGCTTCACACTTTTCCCCCAGTTTTCTAACGGAACGTTCAGTTTTTAATCAAGGTGTTTTTTTTACCGACTTTCAATCCCCTGCACGCGGAGCACTCTTTTCAACTCCTGCTAAAAGCACGGAAGAGAGAAACATCGGCATCAGTGTGACATGCAGGCAGGAAAACCAAACCAGGAATATAAAATGGGAAGCAATGACCTTGGAAACACACTTACGAAAAAGACTTTAAGTCTTCTGGGCAACGTGGAGGACTCATTTAAAACCAAAGGCAGAGAGAAAGTCAACCCAGTGGCATTTTTCAGAACCAACCGAACTGAAACATGAACGGAAAATAGCAGGTACTTCTTCACAAAAAAGCTGTGCAAATATGGGGAACGCTACCCGGCCATGCTGATACTCTGGTTTCTTTCTAAAAGTAGGGTTTAAATTAGGAGTACTCGTTAGGATGACGCAATTTTCAGCAAACCATAAAAACGTGTGATTGTTACACTCGTTTGACAAGCATTACTGCCACTGCCATGCCACTGGTCCAAAGGAAGGGCGCCCGTTGGCGACGCATGACGGCCGCATTTTCCACTGCTGACAACACTCCTCCCTTCAGGTGTCACATCAACACCAGTCTGAAAGGGACCTGCAGGACAGCTATATAAACAGCACTCGTGAATAAGTGTGTAACTTATTAGGGGGTTCAGCCATCTGTCAGAGAGAGGACTCAGAACACACACACACACCCACCCAATATACATGCATTATTTAGGGAAATTCATTTTTATTTTACACCACCATTTTTTAGGAAGACAAGAGCTGTGTAACTCAAGGATTACCTGTATTTTTGTAAAAACTCTATTTACATTTATTCACGGTACATTATGTGGTCTATATATTTCCAGATATTAACACTAATGTCTTTTCTGAATACATAAACAGTTTCATAAAGGTCTACAAAAAGATCTTGTGCAGTGGCACACAATTCTGAAATAAATCTGAAATAAACATTTATATCAACATTTTACTCAAAATGTAGCATAGTTAAAGCATAAGTTTTGATCTTGTGACTAATTTGTTATGCTAATTGACAGTGTCCTGCATCAGACAAGAAACAAATTATAAACTTAATAAATTACTCTTACATTTTTAACTGTGTTTCCAGTTTTGGCACAGTATTAGAGACTAACCCTTTACCCTGTGAGGGCTTAATAAAAGATTCTTCTTATGAATGCCAGCCTACAGACTGAGCTTCACCATCGCTGTTCCCATTCCAGTTACAATGCATCATTAAGTCATCTGCACATGGCAGCCTTATCACACTCAGAGCACCTGAAGGAGCTCATTTTCCTGGCAGCACTGAACACAGCACTACTGCGAGATTCATTATTTTGGAAGCAGACAGTTAAACTGATAAAAGATGACCAAGTAAGGACATCCGTTTCGGGGTAATTGCACGTTTCAGTGGCCCCTTTTACTCTGCAAAGTTAGGCTTACAAACATGTCTTTCTGGTGGACATGGTGGCCTGGGATATCTGCCACTTCCTTTAAATCTGGGCCATCCTACAACACAATCTTCTGCAGATCTAAGATTTCTTTGTAAAGCTGCACCTGCTAAATGGATATCCTTAACAGCAGCCCTTTGAAACGAAACTAAATCAAGTTGAGCTTTCATTCTCGTGATTTGCAACACAAATAAGGCAGGTGTCTATTCTTAAGTGCTAACTTGACCCTGGCCAAGCAGTTTCTGGCCCGGATATACTGAACCTGGAACTTCATTCCTAACTGTGTTCTATACAAATAATGTGAATGTCACCCACCCAGCCATAGAAAATGACTAAAATGTGCAATGGAAACCGTCCAGCTCTTTCACTACTAAGATGAGAATCAGTAGAAGGTGTAAATCTAATAATGCCGTCACCTACTTTACCTTTTAGTCAGAACATTCTAGGATCTCAAATCTCTAGGAGTAATGCAAAACTACACAAAATAAATAGGTTCTTAAACAATATTTTTAGCTGTTGGCGAGTCAAGGCAACAGGGAAAACAGATGGCATTAAATCAAAAATGTTGCTGACGTGGACAGTGGTTAAGATTAAAGGCAACATACTGTAGAAATGTCAAAGAGAAGTCGGCCGGATTTGCTAACAGCTAGCATGCTTCAACGCCAAAGGTACAGCACACAGCCTGCCATGTAAACAGATGATCATATTGCACTCCTACCCTCTTGGCAACACGTGCAAGAAGTGCCCAGGTCACAACCTGTTAGCTGTTCCCCATCCATCCTAATCCAGGGACAAACAGCTGCTCGACTCGGGTCGAAGGCTGAAAGACTGCACTTTATTTTATTAATGGGAACCAATCCAGACTCTCAGTTTAAAACACAAACCTGACCAGCCTTGCAGCCTGCAGAAGAGCTCAGGACAGACTGTACTGTACACATGACTCCACACAAGAGAAAGGGCCTCTTCAGTGCCTGAAACATGTTCAGCTTCTGACATCATTAAATTCAAAATATCAGATCAGCTCTGAAAAATCGGCACATTTGTCATTGAAAAATGCGTCCTGGAACTCTACAAAACAATTTTTTTAATTTTTTGGTTGCCTGTCCTGACACTGACGTCCTCTGCCACAAAACCTGAAATATCTGTTAAAAAATACCAGATAGGCCAAAAGGGCTCCTCTCGTTCTAAAAATGTCCTGTGTTCTTTCAGGAGGTAGGCTTATCTACCTCATACAAATGAACTTTAAAATCAATTTAACTCCCTTTTTGCTTTTGTTTTTGAAATTGTGCATCTACAGAAACATAGGTAAGGCAATCATTATGGAGGCAACATAGGGACAACATACGCTGACACCTGAAGAGGGCTCGAAACGCGTTTTCTTCTCCTCTCAGCTTGGAATAAACCTACTACTTGTTCCTTTGCAGCCTACACATGCTGATGCAGCTCCCCACCTGAACTATGTAATACAAGGTCAGTTTTCAGATTCTCTGTGGAATTCCAAAGTTTAAGGATGATTACTATTGACACTGCTAGTACAGTATCAGAAGTATATTCCCTATGAGATTAGTCACAGTGAAAAACTCATTGAAGCCCCGGGCTATAATGGATTTTTAGCTTCAGTCTGTACCTTTCACCCACATTAAACAAAATACTTGGAAGGTGGAAAAAAGCAGCTCAAAGGTTATAAATCTGTTATGTAGGATGGCAAAACTGTTTTGCTCACTCCAAACAGAGAGTCTAAGAAGAGAATGGTCCAGCTTTTGTTTTAAAAAAATACTAGCACATTCAATTCTGACATATACTACAGCAATAATGACTCTCTCCACATATACATTTAGATAACTCATAGTGACAGCTTGCTCTTAAAAGGCACCATAACCCAGAAATGTGTTCACTCTAAGATAAAAATAAACTCTCTCCTTTAGCATATGGCCTTTAACCTGGTATCACCTTGACTATATTAACATACAGTCATCTCTCCCAGATGACAGGGTTGCCATATTCCTGTAAACTGAACACCACGTAGAAACAGCCCTGAATGAAGTCTCTGAGCACAAGAAAATACCTACAAATCCAGGGGGGCAAATACCCAGAATCCAAATCAGATAATTTAGACTTGAAAGACTTGTATTATCCCTGATCATAATGGTATACAATTTTCTATTTCTGTTTCACGAAACTAATTCAATGCTTTCTCCATCCTGTCTGGTAATATGTGAAAAGCCCTAGGATTTAGGTTCTTGTCACATATTCTCCAATATTAGACTTGGTGTATTTTTCTCTTTGCAGGTAATACTACATTGGATTGAATTTCAGCATGTCAGATCTAGGTCTCTCACAGACATTCTGATATCACAGACAATCTGAAGCTATGCCAACAGTTTTTTCACAGTATGCAAACATGAGCAGACATGGGTGAACCCGATTGATGCCAGTAAGCCTCATTCACAGAGCCACACCTGTATTAAGACCTCAATAAGGTGCACATCACAGAATGTGTGCACAAAACAAATTTTGATTTTTAGAACTTGCCATTGTTTGCAACTGACTGGATAAACTGTAACAAATTACTTGTCTACAGAAAACTTGACCTTTTCTTGTCAAATCAAACAAATAATCTCTTTTCTGCACAGCATTTAATGTCAAAGCGTTACGACAAAGGAAAACGGGTCCTCTTGGAGCAAACCAGTACAGTGCCTGAAAGCCTGTAAACACCAACAGAAACTGCAGCTGAATGTTGATATTCTCCTAAAACAAAACAGTTGAGTAACCATAGTGAACAAGTCAAAAAACAATAGCCGGGAACCCCCAGGGTTCACGTCACACAGATAATCTGACATAAAAACTGATAAGGAACAGGAAGAAAACGCGGCACTAGAAACGTGACTGGATTGCAGCCTAAGCACGTAACGCTTTGAGGTCGTTACCTAAGTTCCCAAAAGACAGTGACATAAAAACAGTCTCTTCTTTTTGTTAGTTTCTTTGAAAAAAAACTACTACAGGCTAATCTAAATTTTTACAAATCAGCTGTAAAAGTTTTCTGCACAAGCTTACGAAATGCCCGTTACTGCAATACCACAAGTATAATTGCCTTTCTGTACATTTTTTGTATTACTAATCGATCACCTAATTAGATCATTTTTAAGCCAGATATTACTGTACAGATCAATTTACTTATTTATAAGGTTAAGAAATGGATGCCATTTTTAGTCTGGCATTAATAGATTTTATTCCTGGTGAAAGGGAGGCTCAGGAACTACTGGATACGTGGGCAATAAAACTCAAGAATGCATTTCTTAAATGACCGTTGATCATTTCTTAAAATATGTGCTACAACAGTTTCTAATTCACACAAAATGTTAAAAGCACTGTAATACATACATGCTTTTTGTGTCCAACAATGGATATTCACAGCCGGGTTTCATCATAATTAATGCACGAAAATCATTAAGGGAATCTAATCCATAAAAATACATGCAGAAATGATAGCCATGTGTAAAATTGACTAGATTTTCTTTTTAAATGAAGCCTGATGACTATGCAGCAGATATCATCAATAAACATTTTTGTCTATTTACATGAGCGTCTATCTATATTTTGGTCATTCATGTGGCATGTGGCAATTTCAACAGACAAAATAGCTACTGCTATGCAGGCACTCTCAGCTCTTCTTTAATAGACTATTCTTCACAGTGGGGCAATTATGACTCCTTCTGCAGCAGAACTGCAGATGATAATGACAAACATCCCTTTAAAAAATCGCAATTTAATTTTGAAAATTAAGTCCAGTAAAATACGAAACCTTATTAAGCTACTTTAGCCTGAATTTGAACAATGGCTTAAGCCAGAAGCTGTCATTTCTGCACAGACCACATTACCATCCCCCACCGTTCTTTCTTAAGATCAGAAGAAATGGCAAAAAAGACCAGGGTATTAGTTTTTCAAAAATCCCATCTTTTGCTTTCCCAAGGATAGGGTGGAGTTGCAAGGGAAACACTAACTTGACATTTGATCTGTGTTTCCTTTTGGATCTTGAAAGGAAAGTTTCATTTCTCTTGGGTTAAAGGCTGGGTAACCTAACACACACAACTGAATGCCTTCCTTAGGAAGTATTTTAAGGACAAAAATATGGAGAAAAAAATGTTTGTCTTGGCATCACACAGTAACACAGAAATAAGATTTCAAATCCTTTGTAATGCCTTTTGTCATGGCAGTAAATTAAAATCCTTCTTTTTCCTTCAACGATTTTGTAACGAGACATATATACCGATCTGTAATAGGCCCAGCACTACATGTTTTGAGCATCTCTATTGTCACTCCAATGTCCTCAGAAATCCTTGCAGATTATACAACAATCCAGAGATCAACGGTGCAAGTCAAAATTAGCTTCATGTAACTATGATTTGATTATTTAGATGCGTTTATGAGGAGCTGATTAGTAACTGGTGGACTGTTTGTACTGTTTTATTAGTCATCTGGTTGTTACAACATGGGATCCAAAATATTCAAAAGCCACTGGCTCTGGCCAACTAAAATGAGCCTGTTTAGAGCTGCCAATCACACCTAACCTGATCTTTGGGAAGTGAGTGGTAACTGTCTGCACAGAAGGTTCCCCAGCCTGGAACCAAACTCATTTCCAAGAGCTGTGAGGCAGTAGTTTAGCTAACTGCCAAACCAATGCAATGACGCAAAAAATATTTTTTCATCTTTCACTTGGTGCGGACCAACAAATAAAATGTAAAAACACGGCTATATTTCACTTTCTCCTCTCACCAGGTGTAATCAGCTTCTTTCATTTCTCCCGACAAAAGTACTGATTTATCACTACCGAGATGCACTGCTGCGCTTCAATTTTAAACGCTCATCTCCTCGAGTCAGTGTCATTCAAACCGCCACCTTGGTGAATCACTGAGAGCCCATGTCCTGGAGCTCCACAGTCACGCCACCCTGTTGCGCACAGGTAGGCAAGCGGACTGCAGGAGAGAGATCGAATAACAATGCCGTTATTGTAATCCACCTCTAAGAGCTAGCGGCTCGGACTGGCCCGGCCCCAGAGCGCACACCAGCGAGCTGCAACAGCTGCTCCGAGCCGAGACTCGGGGCTTCACTGCGACACGCTGCTGCTGGACATGGCGTGAGGGAGCGTTACAATGCAGTTCTTTCAGACAAGTGAGGAGCAAGGCTTCAGAGCATGGCAACCGAGCAGCAAAGGACACGCACATTCGAACGGCGCTGAGCTCATAATGGCAGGAAGTTAGACAGTCGCTTTTCCTTTTCATGATAGTTTTGGTGTTTTTACAGCAAAAATCACCCATCTGGAGTGAAATCCATCTAGATTGGATACATGTGAAAAGGGGGGGAAAATGCCACAAGGTGAAACCAACTCAGATCTTACATGAGCTTATTCTTGTCATCAGCCAAACCTGTTTATTGAAGGAAACATGAGAGCTCCAGGGCCTGTGACCATAACACTGGTGACTCACCATCTGTTCAGATTAGAACACGCATAAAACACTCGAGACCTTATCTGGAGATGTAAAAGGGCTTTCCTTACCATGTGACCAGGTGTCCTTCAGATGTTCACCAACAACCCCAAGGTACTGAGGAGTACCTCTCTCCTACCTGGGGGAGAAGAAGACATTACATTAGGGTATAACATCCCAAACTTTTCTGCAATACTAAACCGTTTCTTCTACCCATTTCAAGCTCTTGTAATTTAGCTATCCCTGCCAAATCTATAGTGGTAATTAATTCACAGCAGAACGATGAAGCAAAGTTCACCAGGTTTCCGAGAGGAAATGGACATAATCAAAGAGAAGCCCAAACACATCTATGCACATAAGAGCCACAACAGTCAAGACTCAGTACTTCATCGGAGGCTGATGATCGCAAGAGATGTGTGCTTTGGCTCCTGTGCACTCATACATTAACCCTTAACATCACTTAAGAGAACGACTTGCAAACATGCATAAGTCACGAATGGGCAGGGTTTTTATTCAGTTGGATTGGATGAATGGTTTACAACCTTTTATTAAACTAAAGTCGATGCTTAGCACTGGGCTCTCTTGTTTGTCATGTATCGCTTAAACAGTCCTTGAAAGACATAAAAGAATAGAAACATCAAATTAGACTACTTCTGGGCACCTTCTTAGGAACTGCATATTGTAATGAGTGAGAGTGCCTTTTGTTCATTTAGAATAACTGATTCAAAGGTCTTTCAATATAGATGCACAAAATAATCAAATCATTTAAAAATAACACTACAAACAACACAGTGCTGTGATACCAAAAGGCCACTAAATTACAGTAATAATCAGGCAGAAGAGACAGGAGACTATACTGTTTGTACAGTATATCTACTTCAATCACAATCAATATATCAATCAGCGAGTAAAACCAGGAGACACCTTGGATACACTGTACAATAAAACCATGTCACACAAAGATTAGACAACCTGCACAAACTTGCAGTCAAACAGTTCATAATAGCTTGTGCGATATCAGAAAAGCTCTCATATTACTCGTATTGAAAAGTATGAAAGCCAGATTCCACTGTACAATCCTCTTATAATTATAAATGTGTACCCTCTCGGCACCAGAGAACGCTCTCAGACTGGCTGGGCATCAGGAACAGTTCAGACTACCAGACATGAGCCACCCGGGTCTTCATCTGCCAAAACTAGCCTGTTCAGGGTGTAAGAGTGTTCATCGTACAGCTTTAAAGTAGCCTCTGGCAAGTTTCAAGCAGAGCAGTAAAAACATGTATGCCTTTACTACTTTTGCAGGTACAGCTCTTATAAAATCAGGTAACCAAATCAACAAATCTGCCCAAATCAGATGGTAAAATTCAGAAAATGATCTAAGAATGTGGTTTGGGTGGAGCTGGCCCCATTTCACCCTGGAGACAACTGCTGTGCTGGAGCTGCTCTGGTCCCTCCATCGCTCTCAAGAGTCTCTCGGTATTGATCGAGCTGCACCAGATTGTTTGGTTTTTTAAATACTGACTTGTGCTCCAAGTCTTTAAAAACTGATGATTTCAAGGTGACCTATGTTACCCACTGAAATATGGCTTTTCAGGACTATGGCTGGCCACCTACGGTATATATTTTTGGTATGCTCTTGTTTTTGGGTCAAGGCCACTTTTACCAAGCATCACAAAACCTCTCTTAAACTGCGACTTGTAACTGAAGATGTTATGCTACACTATTTCTCTAGCCTTCTCACTAAATTAACAGCTAAGACGGTCTCTCTACCTCAGATGCTAAATTTGGTTTCCCCATCTGTAACAGTCATAACACATGAAGCCTATTAATTAGACAATATGATGTCCCACTTCTGACTGCTGACACCTTCTCTTGCAGAACTAATCAGACCTCGGCTCTGTGCAAACCTGTTTAGGCTTATTTCAGTACAACTTAATTTAATCACAATGATGAACAGCACAACTTCTCATTCTGTTTTACAGCACATTTATATACACAACAGTTCATGTTTCTTCCTAGTCTTTATGAAGCAACTATAAATATGTAAAATACTGAACCTCTTTTCAAACATATCAATATTTTGAGAGAACTAAAATAAATTGTAATTGTGGCAACAGCCAGACAGGACATAAGAAAAAGGATTTTGCAGCAAGAAAATATTCATCACAAACAGCCTACAGGAAAGGAATAGGAGACAATGTGTAGCCCGCTTAACTGCAGTTGATTCTGATAAATTCTACTTTCTCATCACCAAAATAAATAGCTGCCTTTTTCAGATAGGAGCATACACCATCAATTCCCTGAGATCTCAGTGCTTTAGATTTAACAATGATCTGTGACATGCATGTCTGTGCCTATGACCTGTAAACAAACATATATATGCTATGACACTGGTACAGGCTGCTGCAACATGACTGAAGCAAATTTCAGTGAATTCAAATTCAGCCATTCAAATAAAAATTGAAGATAACCTTTTCTCACAATCTTATTTTCACTGCCATTTCATTCGCGCGAGACTGTAGTCACATTTCACCAGCAAAACAACACGGTTTGTGTCACGTTATGAAAACACAAATGAAGTGACTAAATGGTGAATTTACTATTGATAACGAGCTGGACCGCTGTATGGTGTTGACTTGCTTTTTACTTTGACAAAATCTGGGACACACTTGTTTTGAGGATGTGTCTACTGTGATTCTCACAGTGGCAGCACTCAGCTCTCGGGCTCCCCTCACACATGCAACGCTGAGGGCATTTGATTCTTCCTCTAGAAATACTCCAGCACTTACCCATCTGTCTTTTTATGTCAAAATCCTTTTTTATGGTCAAATATGTCAAAATGTGTATCAAGCTACGTGGTGGCAATGATCAGGGCAGCCCTGTCGAGAGACTGCACAGGGCGGAGCTGTGCTGAAGGGTACGCGGTGGTCTTCAATGGGCACGTGGAGAAGAAAACTGCTGTGCTGTCATTATCGATCCGCTGGCAGTGCTAGACAATGAGCTCCTGACAGTAAATTAAAGAAAGGGGTGTTGCAGTTGAAATTTAAAATTTACTGTTACAAACCACAAACTATCTTAGATATGTAGGTGAAAGTGCAATAGACGTTACCTACAGTACAACTTTGACGGTTAGCAGAGACACACACCCAGTCAGGAAACCACGAGGTTCAGTTGTCAGCTTCATGAAGCGGACTTCTGCGTGCTCCCTTACACGCTACAGTAGCTGTTCTTTTCCACTTTTCTCCAGCTATGCACAGAGAATCATCCAAACAGGAGCCAGAAGAGACATCCTCATACAATGGCCACCTTCCCGACAATGTAGTTCCAGCAGGGAGCTGCGTCAGCATGCGTAAGCTGCAAAGGAACAAGCAAAGGTTTATTCCTGCTGAAAAGAGAGGAAAAGGAATACAAAGTTTCGGCTGTGGAGCCTTCTTCGGGTGTGGAAGAAGGCTCCACTGCCGAAACTTTGTATTTCTTTTCCTCTCTGTTCAGCATGGAATATACCTCTACTATCCCAAAAGGACATGCTGGAAATACATATTTATTCTCTCCTTCAGTCAAACTGATGATTTCTTCAAGATGAAATCAAGGCCCCACATATTTCATCTGTATATAGCCAACAGAGCTTCCACTGTTACTGCTACAATCCTGACACAGGGAAGCTTACTTATGAACAGCCTATGAAGCCAATCTTTCAGCAGGGGCAATGGCTTCGACAGTTTGGTTGGACTGCTCCACTCTCATGTCGAGTATCTGGAGCTCCTTCACCACCCGTGTGTCGTCTTTCACCTGCTCCTTCATGCGTGCGTTATGCGCTGCCGGGCGCGTGTGGAAAGTCAGCTTGACACCCATGTCTGGTGTGCACAGTGCTGCCCTGCGCACGGTCCCCAGCCACACGAGTCCCGGGAAGAGCGGGAGACTTCCGACAATATCGCGTGAGCAGTGCTCTTGACTAGCAAAACGCAGGAGCAGCATGGAAGGGTCATGCTGAAATACGTGAGCCACAGCTAGGAGGCCTCTTGGGGGAAAAAAAGAGCGGTTTGTGTATTTAGAACAACTGCAAAACCGAAATGATGGACATGGCCGATGTACCAAAGCAAAGTATAGTAATGGACAGTGTGGGTGAGACCTAGTCTCAGGCCTGGGTAATATTCTGCTCTCAACAAAATGAGCCAGAGGGCTGACTGGCCTCTGTTGGGATCTTCTCACGCTCTTCTGAGCAGAAACAACATACACACCTGCCTAGTCACACACACTGCAGGCTTTACAGTTTAAATGTACTTGGGCATATAATGATTACCTCAGTTTCTTGACTACAGCTCGAGAAACAGGAGCAGTAAAACTGCAGTGGGTGAATCCTGCTGAGCCTACTGTGACGTTAACGGTTTGAGTTACTGTAGTTCCCCGCACAAGCTCATATAATTAACCGTATTAAACACACGAGTTGATCAAAATTAGCTGATTATATCTTAAGTCAATCTCTTAACACCAAAAGCTCCTCGGTTATGCTGCAGAAACCAGTCAGAAGGAAAGCTGACCGACTATTATTTGAAAAGAGAAACTGATCCATCCCTACCAGGCCTTAACCAAGGAGACCCGACTTCTTTCTGGAACACAGAAACTGCAAAGGTAGAGTTTTGAGTGGTTTTGCAGGCACAATAAGTGTCTATATAGTTGCTACATTTAAACAGTTAAAATTGAGATGCACAGAGATCTCAGGATACACAATAATTGCACATTCCAGAAGAACAATGCTTGAAAAATACACAAAACATTCACATAACCTTCGTTAAAATAAGTCTCCTTGCAGGAGAGTAAGCCTTGAAATGCTTAGAGGAAATGAATCTGGGTTGTTAAGTAGCTTTCCTGGAACACCTCCTTTAAAATAAACTGAACAGGAACTTATAAGGGCGCAGTCATTGACATTCAAAGAAATCTGCAGAACAGATCCTTTCATCTGCCCCGATAACGAAAAGATTTGACCCGTTCTGTTCCTGCAATGTAATGTCCTTTAAAATAACTAAAAACTCCGCACAAACATTTAAATGACTTTTACTCAGCGAAGAGCGAGTCACTCCCATCTTAACATACTGAAATTTAAATAAATGGATCTTCAAATGTCCATTTAAATAAAAATGT